CTCATGGCCGGTAGTTTTTTTTCTCCCGAACCCTCCAAACTATACAAAACCACCATCCTCTTAATTTTTTCCCATGACTTTTTTTCACTGCTGACCGGATTTGTGTTTAAGTTTTCTTCGACAATGCCTGAAAACTGGTCTTTAATACAAATATTATCATTATTAGCTCTGGGGACACCGTTCAGAAGAGAGGTAGAGGTTTATTTCGAGGCACTGACTCGTACAGTTTGCGATTTCCCCGTAAGGATACACGTGATCCATGGCAGTAAAAATGCGTCGTATTTTAGCTCTGAAAGGCTTATTAATTAGATGTTCGTGTGGCACACTGCTAAAAGACTTTTGGAAGTCTGTGTAAATGACGCCAATCATAACATCCCCTTTCGGTGCAAAGACTTACTCCCCAGTCGAGGGCAGCAAAGTGGAAAGGCAAAAATATTTCTATATAAAGCGCCGTTGGAGTCCTGAGAGCATATGGCTATTCTCCGGAATTATCACTGTCTGTTCCTTAAGTGTGATTTTCATTACTTTAAAACGGATGCAGACTAGACTAGCGGGACGATAATTATCAGGCCTGATCCTGGCCTGCCTTATAAATATCGAGTAAATATTTACTGCTTTCCAATCGGACAACAGCATGTACGCGGGCTTAGCCCCCTGCAACTACCGTAAAGTGTCTCACAAACTTTCAAATACCAAGCCACTTAGTGCAACAGGAAAATATTTCGTGCCCCCTAGGCAGTATTCGTTTGGGTTTAACTTAAATATCACTCACAGGCATGGCCTCAGGGCCTATATGACAAGGATATTCTGGATCAAATCCAATGTCAGCCGACAGTGTTTGCCTAGAACGATAGGATCTCAATGTGTCAAGACATGGCCCGACAAAACTACATCTCAATCAACTGCCACTTAAACAGGTAGATGGAATTTCTTAGTGTTTTATTTCGATTATTACCTCAAACCAAAGCAATGCGTGCAAATGCAGCAGTAGATTTCAAAACTCTCAGCCGAGAACCTAAATCCAATAGATAGCACCCCGTTCTAATTATTCTAAATAACGCAGATGCTTTAGGCGTGTACGCACTTCAGACACGACTAAAAACAGAAACGTTCTAGCTTGGCCTTCACGTCCGAAATATCCACCAGAAAGCCTACATCCAGAAACAGGCGCGGTCAACTTTAACTTTATTTGCACAATTTGCGTCTTGTCGGCATACTTTTAAAGTGTAGTGGGACTCAACTAGGCCTGCTATGATTACAGGATGGGTTAGGACTTTTTTGTTGTCTGATCAAACCCGATGTGCACGCCGTCGGAATTCCACTTGTAGGCTTAGGATTAGTAAGAAGACCATGCCTCGGATAGGATACTGGAGCTGCGGTCGACGTCCTGAAATTAAAAGTGCACTGGTCTAGGTCTTGATTTTATGCCGCGCCTAAAGTGCATGATAGCTGAATTTCGGTGTTTTACTCCAAATTAAAAGAAACGGCATATTTAGAATACGATTATGGTATCAGCAGGACATCAAGTCGAATTAGGTCACACGAACGGCCCTTCAGCCATGGTGTACCTGCCCGCTGGCTTTTATCTGGCACCTCGTTCCCTGCTGGTGGATGCACTTGCGCTCCCACTGGCTATGCAAGCCGTATGCATGGTTGTGGATTGGCTTGTGTCATCCCCTCCTACATCTGAGCCACTTTTGTTGTTGCTTGGAATCCTGGTCAAATGTTTGTTTTGGACCAGTGGCTATGGTGGCACGCCGGGGTGTGGGTTTTCGCAACTTTAGCCACTCGCGCCCTCCCCCGCATCCGGTCCTTTTGAGTGTGTCTTGACACCGGGTTCGGGCGGGAAGGATGAGAGAGTGCGGAAGACGCTGCGTCAGTCTACCCCCACTACAAACTAATTTATTCGCAAGTCACTGTGCTTTCTCTTATAATATCATGGCGCACGCGACGGGCACCGTTGGACGCGACGGTCGAACCGTCACCTAGCCGTCGAAGCTACTGTGCATTAAGTTCACTAAACAGCTGTGCTAATATGACGAGTATGACGGAGACGAACGCAAGGCTAATCAATTAATAAGATTGGAAGTAAATTCAGTGGATGGCAAATTCGAAGTAAATAGAGAATGAGATGGACTGGGTGGCATTCGATCACATAGCGCTACTGGTCGACCGAAATCGCATTCTCAATTGAGTTTATTTTGATATTATGCGTGGTTGAAGAACGTGCAAAGAGAATGTCACTGGTATAAATGATGGGAACACAATATCCTAGACGCAGTACCGCTGTCCGGGTCGGCGTGCTGAAATTCCAGACCGCGTCAAGTCTTATTTGTATAGTCTTGCCTGAAGTTTGTGTCAGCAAAATGCCATTGCTTCCATTAGAAGTAAGCAGGATGGCAGCCCTATACTGCGGTTGTGGTAATCGCTGGATTTATAAGTGAATGCTGCCATTCAAACGAAATTTCCTCCGTCGAATTCCTAGTCGTCCAACCTGCTGTGCACTAAGCTCATTAGCATCCGGGGCCACTGTTCTGTAACCGATAAAAGCAATAGTAAAGTAAAATAGGTGGCAGTAATGCAAATAAAGCGAGTGATACGCTGAATTTTAAAGGAGCAGACAAATTCCACGGGAAAATGACGCCAGATGACATAGAAAAGCTGGACGCAATGAAATCGCGTTTTTATTGAAGTCTGCTTTGATGCGTTGAAGAAGATGAAACGTAATATTGCATTTAGGATTAGAATTAACATGAACGACATGTATTCAACGGAATAGTGGCGCTTGAGTCGGCGTGCTGAAATTACAGCCCGAGTCAAGTCTTTTTTCCTGTTTAGGTCAGTAGGTCAGTATAGGTCAGTATACTTTAAGAGCAATAGGCAATGCCTTTGGGAGCCCTACTGATAGCGGTACCTGCAATATCCAACTCTAAATAAGAGCAGTACTAAAATGCAGTCAGTAGTATATACTCTTTGCAGAATACTGTCTTTAAAAATGCAGGACCGAGACTCAAGAACACTCATTTGAATGCTATGACGGTAAAATGAAGTGACAATCATCCGAATTTGCAGTAAGTGTATGCAAGGCGCTGGTTTGGTATAACAAAGATGTTCTGTCGAGGTAATCGTAATTTTTCAAACAAATAAACATCTCTTCTTTGTTTAACTGTCTCCGTGGACTCCGCCACTATCACGTTCTCGCGAAGCCCATGCCGGGCACCGACAACGCGCTGTGAAAAAGACTACCTGCAAACGCCCAGGCGGAATCGGGATCCTCGAAGTTTGAGAGAGTTCCCATGCAGGTTTGTTGTTGTGGCCAAGGTGAAGAAATCATCCAGGTGCAGAGCACAGTCTCGGTTCCCAAAAATTCGGCACACCTGTATGAGATCTCCTCGGATCTACCTATACTCAAAAGAAATAGGTTAAGTTCATCAAGTCTACAGTTGTAAGGTTAAGTATTGACGCCTTTCAAATTTTGGTTGCTCTCCTCCGAACTCTTTCCGGCAACTTAGACTCTTTTTAGTTGGCAAGAGTAATGGACAAGGACTTTTAAAACCCCACTGTTGATAAGCCAATGTGTTACATGCAGCTGTAGAGCAATTCTGAAAAACGGTCACCATTCAAATAGTAATTACACAATTATAGTAACGTAATTTAAAATCTTCTTCCTTATTCTGCATTTCGCATTTCTATAAGACCATGTAATGGAAATGCCACTTTTACGATTGGAATTAGTAAAACCCTAATTCCATCATTCTCAAAAACAGAGCTGGTTGAGGGATTAGTTTACACCAGACGTCACGACACCTGGTTTTAGCCCTGGTTACAAACGTGTCATGTTTATATGCTGCACTGGCTCAGAGGGACTTGTCTGAAAATTCTTTTGAGACATAAAAACTATTTTATAAGGTCAAGGATGGGCTCTTTCAGCGCAGCCAAATTCTGCACAAGTGTCCGTTTACCTGCCAACTATTTGAGGCTCGTGCGAGTTCATGAGCAGATTAGGCAACATTTAATCATAACAACACCCACCAAGGAATAATATTTAGAATATAATACTTGACGCCATATTTGCGTGTACTTTTTATGAAACACTTTAACCAATGTGGAAATGAGGACAGATTATAAAGACTGCCAACAAGCCAGGATTAGCGTGTTGAAGCCGAAATTTTCACACACCCCAAGCACTCATTTCTCCTTCCTTGAGGATGACTACACCTATCAAAACCTCTCGGGACTTTTCATTTATATGAAAAGGGAGAACCACTTTATTACCTTTGAACTTTTTGACTTCGGATGTTTGAAGTGATTGTTGTTGTTAATTGCTCTCTGGGCTGGTCACTTTTAATCATACCTGTTGCTATCGGTATTGTGCTTCTACTTTCTCGTTAGCGCTTTTACTTTTCATGGCCTTCTGTTATCCTTGCCCAGTCCGTCGTAGTACTTTATTAATTGGGACCATGCTTCGCGACAGTGCTGACAGTAGTATTTCACGGCGATGGCCACCACCGCTACCCAGCCGAAGTAAATACTAATGCCTAATTTGAACGTAACAACCATGGGGATGCACGAAGTTATATTCGGTGCTGGGTCGAAATGGTCGATTTTAACGCTGAACTGGATGACCCAAAATCACCTACCTTGGACATTTGTGAGCCGTCAACGAGAATTCAAATGTTTTACTACATCGCGCACTAAACGCAAGGATCAAAGTGCTCCCGAGCAGCATCGCCCCGCTTCTTTCCCATCTTTCTAACCGGTTGGACGCCTTCTCTGCTTAAACTATGCGATTGAAGAGGGCAAAACAATGTGCGAAAATACTTACAACTTACTCCCGCTGTTTTGGCCTGAATTTCAAGGAGCTTGAAATATTCTTGGACTACACATTTGTCCGCCAGGCCTTAATCCATCAAGTGAACATATTCGAAAGTCTCTGCAATATGGCCGGCAAAGGGATTCGCCTTGTGACGTCTTCTTGCGTAACTTCTGAATGTAAGGCCATGGGATCCCTGCTTTTCGGGTCGCTTAAGGTCCTGGAAGGCTTTAAGGTTCTTAAGTGTCGGCACGAATATGACCCTTCTCGTGGCGCAGCTTGGTGCATCCGCAAGCGCATTCGGACGGCAAAAAGACATAGCCACACTTATGGGCATCCCAAAAAACACGAAAAGTGTTTTCTTTTCGCCTTGGCATCGAACGACGAGGATCTTCGTCTGCTAGCTCGCAATGTACCCGGGATGCCGTTATTTATAATTGCACAACGATGTGTCAACATAGAGCCTATACCTGCCTCCACACAAGCCTTGATCGAGAGTTTGACTACTGAAAGTTTGAAACTGAGTGAAGCAGAAGTGAGTATTCTTTAATTCTCGCAGATTGCTTATGTCGTGTTCCCTTTATCTGGATCCCAATTTTGTACCGTTTTCAGGCGTCCAGGCTCCTTGCTATCGAACAGAAGTTTGGTCTTGAACAAGACGCCCCCTTAAAACGAAAGAAGAAGCATAAACAGGCTCCAAACCCGCTATCATGCAGAAAGAAGAAAAAGGGAGCTATCCCCTCGTCACAACCTGTCCCCACCGGCACCACCGCTGACACGAAGTCTTGGAAACGCCGGCGTTCTCTTCACAAAACGTGGGCTATGCGTCAAGTGCTTGCAAAGATGTATGCTGAATTAAAGCCTTGAGTGTATATTATGGCTGTCAATTGACGCTGTTCGATGGAAAGACTGGATGGTCCACAGGAGATACGGGTCTTTGCTGCCGGGGCCTTTATGTTTCCTTTCGGCCTAATGAAAATGAAGCGATCTTGCATTACGTGGCTCCACTAGAAAGTTTGCCGACGATGTTTTCAACTGTTTCAGCGCTCTTTTGCTTTTACGGTAAATGTTCTCTACAGTCTCTTTTTCACTCTCCGCACGACAACTTAGTACACACGTGCTGGTGGGTCCTTTGTCTCGGAAACCAGAAAATGACCCATGATGTCCCTGTTTCTAACCCCACGCAGAAGTTTTGTCCACGGATTATTTAGATTGCCGCTCGTTCCATCCCCATGTGCCACCTGACTACTGTGAACTGGATAATCGTCGCTGGTGTTAACTGGTTTCTGTTATGATTTTTGTCCTGAGCTGTGTTTTAACTTTAGCTATTTAGATCTGCTTACCTAGGTCCGCTAGGACCATGTTTTCCAGCCTACTTGCACTCATCTCTGACCTGATTCGAATCTAAATTGGCGTTTTTTGGAAGCTACTGTAGTATCATGTTTTGTTTTGCAAAAATCCCTTGGATTTGATGCGGACAATCTTCCTCCTAGCGAGTAGGGCCGGTTAAAATACTACTTTATACTATCCTCAGTGACTTGAGTGGGATTGGACCCTTAGATTCGCATACAGTAAATGTATCCACTAGCGCGAATGGCATTAACGAAAGCATCTAAAAAGCCCGAGGAGCTCCACGGACGGGCTAGCACTTTACCTTTTTGATTTCAGTGTTTTCCTTGTATGGGTCCTCCGGTAATTAGCGCTCTGGAATGCTCCATCCGTGTGAGGTTTTAATTCAGCCGTGCTCGAATCGTGAGACGCTGCCGGTTCCACCAGCCGTGGATGCTGACTTCGTTTGAATCGATGGTTTCGTTTCTGTAAGACGAGTAGGGAGTCCGCTCGGCCGCTTTGCTCCCTTCAACGGGCCACGCAGGAGTTGCGCTGGACCAACATGGAGGCTCGATCAGGGTCGGGCACGCCTTATTGAACCGTATACCCATAACAAATGCCACACGAGGAGTCTGGTGGCAAGCCTAGGGGAAGGCTCACGCCGCGCCATCCACCTGCACCCCCAGTCTTCTTCATTTATCGACACCGAACCCAGGGGAGAGAGAGCGGCGGGTGCATCACAAGTCTACTTTCGCCATAAACGAACTCACACGCAAGTCACTGACCCTGCGCCCACTATCCTGTGAGACACGCTCGACGCCGACGGGGACGGCGGTCGAACTGTTAGTTTTGTGTCTACTGTTAGTTGTTGAGTAGGCTTTGCAAGTTAAATATATAATTTCGCTTTATCTACCTGGAAGCGGATGCTGCCCCAACGAGAGTTGCCAATACTATTTGAAGGTCTGGCGGTCCCTAACTGAGAAGTGAGTTTTGTCACTAACTTGTTGTAAACACGTCGTTTAGGAAACAGCTAATATCAATGCTTAAGAAGGATTGGTATCACGTTAACTTCGAACTTGTGGCGTGGCAGACTTACGTCCCGACAAGTGTCGAGTGCTTTCGTTGTAGTGTGGTTACCATAGATTTACAGCCGATTATCTGGTTCGTAACTCCACTTTTCTGCTAACCGAACCGATTTTTGGAGTCTAGACTAGTCCGTGCTTTCGAGGATAACTCCCTGAATCAACAAAAACCAATGGTAATGAAGAACCGCATACAGAATCGTCATGGCCTGTAACTAATTTCCAGGCTTCTAGGTGACAAGCCCAGAAGTCATTCTTCCCGCAAGCTACCATGCGTTCCGGCTCATTGGCCAGTTATATTTATGCTGTTCTCATCTTCATAGTTGCCTGTACCTGAGTTAAGTTTGGCAAAGAGGCAGGGAGTCGCCTAACGTCTGGAGTGTGTAAGGTTAGCCCAAAGACTCGATCTAGAGCGTATGCAACTTCCATCAGGACAATAATTCTATATAGATATTAGATATGCGCTCCCTCGGAATATTTGATGCTACTTGCGTTTCGAGTCGTAAATTCGCCACTCCCATCGCGTCTCCAATAAGTAACCGCAGTCGGCTGAGTTGACTGTGTTATGCGCCAAATTGGCCTGAAGAAGAAGAAGAAGACGTCTAGGATGCCGTATCACTCATACCCATTCCCGGCCAGCGTGAGCATCAAGACTGACAGCTGAGCGGGTGTGGGGAGGCTGAGCTTCCGTGCCTCACTTGTGCTTATGTTGCAAATGGCCCAACTTTGCTCAGTAGTTTGTCGCCAACCAACTGCAATGGAGGGCTAACATCAATAACCTCTTGAACCTGTAACTTGGGACTGACTGCATCAGCCACAATGAGCGACTTCGCGGTTACGAATGAAGAAGTCGGTGTGCGGCCCGCATATAAAGTCACTAAATCCAAACAGCTCATTGCCCGACGTGTGTACAGCTGCCGGGCCTGTTTGCACCGATCTTTTTTGCGGACTGCGGTGCTTTGGAAGTCTTTGGGTTCTATTTTCTTTTTACCGTTAGTGACAAGGCAGACTGCATGTACCGTTTCCGTCTTGTTTGCCAACAAGGTCCGACAACGAGGCTCAATGACCAAGCGAGCCCTATTCAAATTGTGGGTCTGCTTGGCATTGAGTCGTTGCATGACTGTCCGATGATGCCAAGTAAACTGAGGTCATTGCTGATGCACCGTCAAAAAGGTATCGACGAGACTGGACTCCTGGGAGGGAAATGGCTTTGATTGCGTCTCTATCCGGACAGTGGCAGACTAACTTAATTGGGTTAAGGTCGCTCCTTCTTTTGATGCCTGTAAGGATTGCCTTCGGCGCTGATAAATCCAGCGCGGCATGCTCCTAGCGGGTAGCAATAAAGTTACCTACAAAATGCCTTGACAATGACGAAGCTTGCGCTCTGACAAATGAGGGCCTCCCACTCTTCAGTCGGTTATTTACCAGTCCTCTGTCGAGATCTGCGCTACAGTAGTATATGGTCCTCCGTGCTTTCCGACGACATTACATTTTGGCGCTGGAAATCTAAGGCCCCAACCGCCAACATCTAATTAAAGAGAATTTTTTCAATCACACCCAGTAATCTGGCTTAGGATTACTCCGAATACTGGATAAATGAGAAATCGTAATTTGCGCTTCTCTGTATATATGGGGAGAAACATAGTTGATAAACGGATTACTTGACCTTTCAGCCAGATAGGTTTTATGCGCTATTCTCTTATTGTGGATCGCTGAAGTGTTTTCACTATTTTCCTAGTCAAATCTCACAAACCATTGTGATATGAAAAGCGAGGGCAGGTTGCTAGCCCATGAAGTAGACGAACAAACCGACAGTCCATCCTACTGGGTAATTTTGGATAAATCCAACCAAGGCGAGGCGTACTCGTGAATCGCCTCATCGATTAACTCTAGGGCAACGTGGATAGGCCGTTTTCCGATGTGTAATTAGGATCGACTGACGAACACCACTCACATGTGACTGCGCATTTCTGACCGCAGTCTACAAGGCGTCCAACAGCGGTTCAACCAGTAGGACGCCAGACCCGACACCCAAGGTTTCGGGTATCCCCCGCCGGAGATTGAGTATGTCTGCCGAAAGTCGAGAATGACCACCACATCCTCCTCCGCCCTCATCGATGGTACTTGTCGAGTATTTTCTGCCCATCCACTGCGTGCTCTAGAGCGGGATCCAAAGATAGCCGGGATCGATCCTTATTCAATCCCGCAATCAGAACAGACCTCTGGACGCCTCTCACACGACGCCAAAATCGCTCGTCGTAGGCCCGAAACCCTGTTAGTTTTCAGAGTGTATCGCCTTCCTATTTAACCAACTCTTCATCAGCACCGTTGACCAGATTTCGCAGATGGCATTGGCTCACGATGAAGCAGATTCGTTAACCGTCTACATCGGTACTGATAATAGTCAACTCAAGGACAGTTTCCAGCACTATTACGCCGCTCTCTGTCCCATTCCACGTTGCTAACTAGAAAGAGGAATTACCAGTAAACTTCCAGTGGCTCCGTTCTAGGGGATGGCCATAAGTATGTTGCGGCGTCTTATATGGTCAATCCAAGTGTTAAATTCATGCTGGAGAGAGAAGCGATAGTCCTGGGTCGTTTTATCGTCGTCGTCGTTCTTGTCCAATAAGGACATTCAGATCATAAGCCGACTTAGCGCCAATAGAGAACTTAGTGCTGTTGAGTTTCATACAACACTTGGCCCTGTAACTGCACTGGGCAGATGGTGGAAGGGCTCAACTCTCGGAAGTCCGGTCAAAATCTGCAATGGGAGGCAGCAACCCATTCGCGCAAGCCGCTGAGGTAAAAAATTGAGCGGACCGTCAGAAAAGCAGGTGGGATCCTGCCTTAGACTCGGCATTCTGGTGGTCCTTGTGCGGACCGATCTATCTGCCTCCGTCCCATTGCGTGCTGCGGTTTTGCTGTAAGATGGCGTCACCGGTTTTTAGCCTAAGATGCGACTCTAAGACACTCAAAGAGCACCTCCTTTGTTGCGCTTCGCCTCAGTTAAGGATCTTTAGCACACGTCCCAAAGGACAGATAAGCTGTGGATTCCGACAATCAGCCTGCTCCAACTTTCTGCCTTTCAGGATTAACAGCTTAAGCTGCTGGGAACACAGCGGTAAATACCCTGTCTTTATTAAAAGTACTGCGCTCTAGGCCTTTTTGTTGTTTTTCTAAGAGTTGAAGGCTGAGGAAGGTATTCCAGCGCTCCCTGTGCTCAACTTATGCGGTTTGACGCGACACTAGCATTAGGAAGTCCCCCTCAACGGTTGTACATTTGCATTTCTGATGACAATGCACGATAAAGCGAAAGATTACGTACAGGAAAGTGCGTCTGTAACAGTCTCCAACCGAATCGCCGTAAAGACTAGAGGATGAGAGAATTATAGAGCGTTAATTGTTGGCACAGTCCAGAACCGCTTATTTGTCGGTCTTACCTGGCGTAATGTTCGTTGGGTCTGCACTTGTAGAATGCTTACGAGATGGGGAAATTGTGTTGAATACCTCATTTTTCAATCATGACACGCGACAGGGTTTTGACAGTTTGGCGGTTTTCGGCCCACTTCTAAAAGTAAGAGGCGGGCTCAGTGAGTTCACAATAGGATGAGAAAACCCCACCGGATTGAGGTGGAGGATGTAAAGACAGGACTGTCTGTCGTCCACCTGCTCTAACTTGGATGACCAGTAAAATCTTAGTATTCTTCAAAATGGAAAACCGTCGGTTTGACAAGGTCTAAGGTTATCCGTCAGAAGTTTAGCCACTTTTCACTAAAGGGACTTCATCATTCTCGTAGCGCTTTACCCATCAGCGGAAAACTAAACCCTATCCGAGCCATATGAACAGGAATTTGCTGATAAACGTCGTGTGAGAACCATACCTAGAGTGCATACAAATAAAATGACGTCGTTACCTTCGCCTACATTGGTTCGAATTTCTAAGATCTTATTCGGTGCACTACGCGCTGTCTGCAGCACTGTTTTAATGCAGGTCACTATTCCCCAGAAAGGTGGTGAAGCAGCCGAAAACATAGTAATGCGGCTCTCGATAGGGTCTGAAAACCAAGTGGCTCGTGTACCCAGATTAGGCGTCGGATTTTCCATCCGACATCACGTTGTAGAGATCCATCTCAGTATGGCCGTCGCGAGCGACGTTACCGTTATCTTTCTCCTTCCAGAAATTAATTCACTGTCCGAGCCGGTCAGCTATCTGATGCAAGGATTGGGCGCAGATGGCTGGGCGGCGCAGGCTTGTGCCAAGGCATGCAACCTCACCCTTCTCATGTTTGGCATCTGTAATGCGATACGTTCACTTTGAGAAACCCGGTTAACGATTGGCGTGTCCTGATCAGACCACTGTGTTGACCCCGTGCATCTCTCATGGTAAACGGTTCTTACCTTTCAGAGGTTCTTACCTTGCTCGTGGCGGCCCCATAATGTGTGAGAACAGTCTGCTTTATCAAATCTGTTATCATAGCCCGTAGCCTCAAGTTCAACACAATAGGTCCACAGATATTGGTGACACGACAGATCCTTGTCCCTCAAGTTTCCCTGAGTTTGTATATATGTGTTAAAATGTCTACTTAATCTGCTAATGATTGGAAGAAGTAGGAACCAGATGTTTTAATAGCCCAACTGAGCGTCACGGGACGGCCCTTCAAAAATGCTGTTGGCAACCTGCGTACCTCTTGAGGCATTAACTGAAATTCTAAAGTATGGATTCGTCTGAAAAGCCTTGCTTCAGTAGGGCTGCGCTGTCGATTAGCGCGCGATATTATCCACAAACCTTTCATTCTGGCATTCGGCCAAGCGTCCTTCCTGCCACTTGAGAAAATTGTATCTGTCGAAAGTGGCTGCTTAAGTGGAAGGAATTTATCCCGTTGACTTTCGGTGCCTTTATAAGTCCGAACATACTTTAGGAAGGTATGCGCGAATATATCTTTTACAGAAAATTACGTCTTCATCAATTTTTCAGGTAGAGGAAATGGCATCTTTAGGTTTTAGCAAAGTTTCGACTCTCAAGTAATGTCAAACCCTTGCGCTTATGATTTCCAAATTACACGCAGTACACCATCCATTCGAGGAAAATTCAGGAGTCCTACTGTAAAAAGCAAGCGGATAATGAATTCTGGGACAACAGTGTTTCTCAATCTAGAGACTGACCGTTAGTGCCACCCGTCTACTGGTTTAGAGGCCAACGGCCCATCAGCATGCCGGATGTAAGCACTAAGAATGAGGAGCAAGTCAGCGCCTTTTTCGGTCATGTTCAGGACGATTCAATTTTATGGCAACATCAACCTATTTGGTGTGATTACCAGACGATTTGTATATTTCTCCTAACGGGTCCTGTGCTTCAAGGCTGACCTCCCCAGACGGGCATAAGAGGGTAAGTGGTTAATGACGGACAGGCGAGCCATCTTGGACCTGGATTACACCAAATGTTTCCCCCATCAGTTGACCTTTTATCCCTAAATGCCATTTTAGGGGATTTTGCCCTCCAGGAGTTGCCTAATGTCGATCTATGGCAACTGTCAGTCAGTAAGTGGGATGCGTTGTCCGCTGCTTCGGGACAAAACTGAATCGTCGGAATTTAATAGTGTGCAATCAGGATAGGTAGGGGCACGGCACGCTTATGAGACTGCATATTCTCATAAGCGCGGTGTTGTGGACACTGGGCTGGCCAGAATGATATGTTGTTTAGTACTGGTTGAAAATGCGACGGACAGCAGGATTGATCCAATAGTACACATCGTAGAGCCACCTGCAGTCAGAAGGCTAGGTAGGTGATGGGCCTTAACGATACCATTGAGACGTTTTGGCGAAAGTGCATTGGCTCTAACAAGAGAGACAGTTGTCCTGGTACCAACTAAGGCCCTAACTGCACAGTCCTCTGTCTGAACAGTTGTATAAAACGGTGAAATGGTACGAACGCCAGATGAAAAAAGGGGAACAAAATGAATATCGGAACCGTCGTCTTCCGAGCGATGTGTCCTCATGCAGTAGGGAGGACAAGCATAAATGAAAGTGGTAGGAAAAGGAAGTTGTGTTTCAAAAGTAATATATCATCCTTGTGTTTAGGAGGTAAGAACGTAACTGCTGGATTACTACTATTAAAATTTCTGGTCTACGTTACCAAACTATGATGTGAAGATCATTCGAGAAGCACTAGGTGTAACTTCAGGGGTGTAGGGGGTGTCAGCGGTGGGTTCACGTGATGGTCGTAGTGGTCGCTCACTTGCTTGCAGGTGAGACTACGCCTAGCGTCCATTTGCTGGCACCCAACTCTCACCTGTGGCTCCACGTAGCTGGACTCTGCTCAGCGGCCACACCCCGGGCAACCGTCCCGACCGGCGGGCTAAACCAGGTGAGGGCGCTGTGCGCTTGTGCCGCGTGCACAGTGTACTGCGGACTCCGCTGGATGGATGGTCGGATGAAACACTGCGCCGGCATCGTCGAGACGAGGCTCTGCCTGGTACGCCGTTGGATAACTGCTGCCGGGACGGGTCTCCGCATCGCCTTCGCTGAGACGCGCCCACCCTCGCCGACGGAGACCGCGGACTCACGGCATATGCGGTCGTTCTCCACTACGAACATAAAAGTCGTGGCCCCATAGTGGGATCGGTCGCGCCAACCAGGCACATGGGCAGTCCGAGTCAGGGGCGGCACTGCCTGCCCCCATGAGGGGAAGGGCCTAGAAAAGGTGGCCTAAACATTGCTGGGTACCACGCCGTCTCCAGGCTAGCCAGGGCCGCAGACGTCTAATCATGCTCGAAACAATCAAAATCGAAACAACAACAATGCCAATAACAACAACAACCATACTCCTTCTCCTCGTCCTACCTCTTCTACCTCTTCCTCTGCCTATTCTTCTCCTTCGTCACCTTCTTCTCCATCTCCCTCCCGTCGCCCCACTCGTCGTCACCAGACTGGCAGTGTGGGTCCGCTCACTCTGGCAGCCTGGAATGTTCGTTCCCTTTTAGACAATCCGAGGAGCAACCGACCGGAAAGGAGGACAGCGTTAGTGGCACGAGAACTGGCGCGCTACAAGGTGGACATCGCCGCACTCAGCGAGACCCGTTTCTCCGAACAAGGCCAACTGGAGGAGGTGGGTGCCGGTTACACCTTCTTCTGGAGTGGTCGACCCAGGGCAGAGCGACGAGACGCGGGCGTCGCCTTCGCCATTCGGAACGACATCGTGGGACGACTGCCCTGTTTGCCGCAGGGCATCAACGATCGTCTGATGAGCCTCCGCCTGCCTCTCCGGCGGGGGGGCCAATTCGCCACCATCATCAGCGCCTACGCTCCGACCATGACCAACCCCGACGCCGTCAGAGACAAATTCTACGAGGACCTGCACGCCCTCTTGGCGACTGTGCCGATGGCGGACAAGTTGGTTGTCCTTGGCGACTTCAACGCCCGCGTCGGCACAGACCATACTGCCTGGAGAGGAGTGCTGGGTCCCCACGGTCTCCGCGGCTCAAACGACAATGGTCTGCTGCTGCTCCGCACCTGCGCAGAACACCGCCTTATCCTGACAAACACGTTCTTCTGTCTGCCGGAGCGAGAGAAGGCCACTTGGAGGCATCCTCGGTCGCGTCAGTGGCACCTGCTGGACTATGTCCTCGTCCGGAGGCGAGATCAGCGGGACGTGCTGATGACGAAGGCGATCGCGGGTGCTGACGGGTGGACCGACCATCGCCTCGTCATTTCGAAGATGCGTATTCGCCTACAGCCTCGCAGGAGACCACAAGGTAAGCGACCCCCAGGTAAGCTGAATGTTGCCTTGTTGTCCTTGCCCGCTCACCATCTCCATTTCAGCAATGAGCTAGCTCAACGGCTAGACAACCTCCCCATCGCCGATGCCGCCGCTGCCGAAAACGCCTCCGTGGAGAACCGCTGGTGTCAACTGCGAGACACGGTCCAGGCGACGGCGCTCACCGTCCTCGGTCGCGCTCCCCGCCAACACCAGGACTGGTTCGACGACAACGACGCCGCCATCAGAAATCTGCTAGCTGAGAAGAACCGCCTACACAAAGCCTACGTCGATCACCCCACTGACGACAACAAAGCTGCTTTCTGCCGCGGTCGCCGCCACCTCCAGCAGCGACTGCGCGATATGCAGGACGCCTGGACTGCTCGCAAAGCTGAGGAGATCCAAGGCTACGCGGACCGCAACGAATGGAAGAACTTCTTCTCTGCGATCAAAGCTGTCTACGGTCCGCCGACAAAGGGCACTGCTCCTCTCCTCAGCGCCGACGGCAGTACTCTCCTGACTGAGAAGACGCAAATCCATCAGCGATAGGCCGAGCATTTCCGAGGCGTCCTAAACCGCCCTTCCGCCATCTCCGACGCCGCCATCGCGCGTTTGTCGCAAGTCGAGACCAACGCGGACCTCGACCTCCCGCCATCTCTCCAGGAAAACATCAGGGCCGTGCAGCAGCTCTCCAGCGGGAAAGCACCCGGATCGGACGCAATCCCTGCTGAGGTCTACAAGCACGGAGGTCCGCAACTCATGGATCACCTGACTGCGCTCTTCCAGGAGATGTGGCGTCAAGGTGAAGTCCCGCAAGATTTCAAGGACGCAACAATCGTGCACCTTTACAAGCGCAAAGGGGATCGCCAAATCTGCGACAATCACCGTGGCATCTCCTTGCTGAACATCGCCGGGAAGATCTTCGCTCGCATCCTTCTCAACCGCCTCAATAACCACCTGGAACAGGGCCTTCTGCCGGAAAGCCAGTGCGGCTTCCGTCGTCATCGTGGGACCACGGATATGATCTTCGCCGCCCGCCAACTTCAGGAGAAGTGTCAGGAGATGAGGACCCACCTGTACTCTACCTTCGTGGACCTGACGAAAGCCTTCGACACGGTGAATCGTGAAGGCCTGTGGAAGATCATGCAGAAATTCGGCTGTCCAGAGCGATTCACTCAGATGGTGCGTCAGCTACACGACGTATGATGGCGCGAGTCACGGACAACGGAGCTGTCTCAGAGGCATTCGCAATGACTAACGGAGTGAAACAGGGATGTGTGCTGGCACCAACCCTCTTCAGTCTTATGTTCTCTGCCATGCTGATGGACGCCTACCGCGACGAACGCCCCGGGATCCGCATCGCCTACAGTACGGACGGTCACCTGCTGAATCAACGGCGGATGCACTTCCAATCACGCGTATCCACAACAACCGTTCACGAACTCCTCTTCGTCGACGACTGCGCCCTGAACACCACCTCAGAAGAGGAGATGCAACGGAGCATGGACCTGTTCTCCGCCGCCTGCGAGAACTTCGGTCTGGTCATTAACACGCAGAAGACGGTGGTGATGCACCAACCGCCACCCAACTCAGCCACAGCCCCCAACGCGTCGCCGCAAATCAGCGTGAACGGAACCCAACTGCAAGTGGTGGAGAACTTCCCGTACCTGGGCAGCACTCTCTCCCGCACCACCAAGATTGATGACGAAGTCGCCAACAGGATCTCGAAAGCCAGTCAAGCCTTCGGTCGTCTCCAAAGCACAGTTTGGAATCGTCACGGTCTTCAACTGAACACGAAGCTGAAGATGTACAAGGCCGTTATCCTGCCGACGCTACTGTATGGAGCAGAGACCTGGACGGTGTACACGAGGCAGGCACGCCGTCTTAACCACTTCCACCTCAGTTGTCTTCGTCGCATCCTGCGGCTGAACTGGCAGGATCGCATCCCCGACACTGATGTGCTGGAACGAACGGGAATGCTCAGCATCTACTCCATGTTGAGACAAATGCAGCTGCGCTGGAGCGGCCACCTGGTGCGCATGGACGACGAGCGGCTACCCAAACGACTCTTCTACGGAGACGTCGCGACGGGTTCTCGTCGTCAAGGAGGCCCAATTCGTCGATACAAAGATACCCTGAAGTCCTCCCTGAAGCTACTGCAAATCAACCCGACCAACTGGGAAGAGCTCGCCTGCGATCGTCCGGCATGGAGGAGAACAGTGAAGACGGGCGCTGCTATCCACGAAGCCAACCGCATCGTCGCCGTCAAAGCGAAACGCGAAGCCCGCAAATCACAACTTCGCCCAGTCAGCAACGCTGTCGCACAACTGCTTCCAACGTGTCCTCGATGTAAGCGGACATTCGGGGCTCGAATCGGCCTTGTTGGACATCTTCGGATCAACTGTACCTCTCGAACTTCACCAAACTTCATCCCCCGCCCGCGTCATCCTCGTCCTCTCTGCCGCCGAATAACTCTGTGAATTCTTCTGCACCACCACTTCCATCC